AGCTCCTTGTATTCGAGCTTATCATATCCACCTGCAGAAGGGATGGAAATCATGGTTAAAGACGCTGGAAAAAATACAGTGAAATGAACTAACTATGTTGAAGTTAGAGTATTAAAACCTGTGATCAGAGTTCCAGGATTGGTCAAATTCAGTCAGGCATTACTTGTATTTTCCCCAAGCCTCTCTCGTTAACTTCGACCAGCTGTCCAATCAGCTTGAAAAGCAGAGAGCATGCGCAAGAGAGGTCCGAAGCTGCAAAACCTCAAGCAATTAAGGTAACAAAACTGCAAAATAACGTGGAAATAAATCAAAATAAAGATTCACTTTGCTATTAGAAATATTACCTTTTGTAGTCGAGTAATGAGAAACTCTGAAAGCGAAAGGATCGACATAGCGTGATGTTAGGTGTCATTGTTGTAAATAGAAGCTTCTAGAAATTTCCAGACTGCTGAGTCATGCTGACTTGCGTACCGTAGAACTTTCCGAACATGTTATCAAGTCACGCGCTTATTATGTCATCAAGTCACGCGCTTATTATGTCATCAAGTCACGCGGTTATCATGTCATCAAGTCACGCGCTTATTATGTCATCAAGTCACGCGCTTACTACTAAAATAGTTCTTATATAAACTTCTGGAATGTTACAAAACACTTTGAGAATATTCATAAAGACTCACTTATGCAATAGTAGAGGTAGTTGTTGTCGGAGCGACGACTGTTTTGAAAGCTATACCAAGAGAGAGTTACTGCAGAAGATTGTTCGCTTCAAGGAACTTTGGAGACAGCAGTGAGATTGTGTTAGTGGTGAGCTAGTTATTGAGAGAAAATCATAAACAGAGAACTGAAAAACTAAATTTTCCATAGGATTCAAGTACTTGCTAACTTGCATTTCCAATGTGCTACATTCAGGTCAAAAAATATTCAGTTAAATAGTTTCTATAAAGAAAAAAAAATTAAACTGTGTTTAACAAAACAACTTTTAAACACGTTTAAGCTTTGGTGTGAATGGGGTACTGTATAGACCGTGGTGGGCTTAATTAAGTTTATTAACGATAAGTATTGTCCTGTTTTTAGGAGTCGTTCCTTGTTAAGAACATCACTCGCTGATTAATAAAGTAGTTGAATTTGTGGGATTGTAGTGTTTTTCTATCTGTTAGATTATACCGTTACAGTGACATGTCAAACTCGACAGGTCCTAACATGACCATTACCGAAAACCCTTTTTTATGCCGACTACGGGAACCTAAATTGCGTTGAAACCGCAAAAGCATAGCCTGTGAAAAGCAATACCGCAGGCTAAAATAAATATTCGACAAACCGCGCCAAAAATTACGCTCCATCGCAACCCTCACCGCCCCTGGCCGCTCCAGGTATAAGAGGCGCAACTTGCCGAAATGACACCGAAACGGCAGAATTATGACGGAGCTGTCTATAATCGGTCGAAAGCGTCTTAAATTCTCTGGCATGATATATTAACAAAATGATTTTAATGGCTCTAAAAGTAGCGTGGAAGTATCTTAAGAGACAGATACAGCTTGGCAAGATAACAAGTTTTTCATTTCGTGACCAAACAAAAAGCCATCAACTGAACGCCCGTATAATGCTAATAATTACCATATGAAACATAATCATCATCATCCATAATTGTGTAGAGAAAGATGGATCATACACATTTGAATGATAATGCTTCCGAAATTCAAACTTCAAAACCTAGCGATCCATGATTGTTGAAAGTATGGACAAACATTTAATCAGCTTTCTAGGCCCCTATAAATTGTGTTCGAAAAGGAAGCATACCATGGTACTAGCATTACTTAAATTTTTTTCCAAATTATGCGCAGAATTATGCTCTTTTTTGAAAACTACGCAACTTTTTTTAAGTATGCTTTTCAAAAAAACAAAAAACACAAAACAATCTCCAGCTGTATATATATTGTTAATGCAGCATGATATTTTCTTTACCTTGAATTACTCACTTGCTTTGATAAACACAACTTACAAGTGCCATTTTACTGTAAATCTAGGATCAACGAAAGCCCAATCCTCTAAACGACGAACACGAACGACGAGAGTAACCTTCTTCCCCCAAGACACTGAAAAAGTGAAAATAGACTGAATCATAGCTTGAACTTGAAAAAAAAAATCAATCTTAGAAAGAAATTATGCCAAAAATTACACTAGCCAGTCTATAAGGGTCTACAACATACTTCCTATTCCCCGTTCCTCGTCAGCGGCGGAGAGGAAGAGCGTTTAGCTTTAACCACTGCGCAGGGTCTCGCAAGTTCAAATAGCCCATAATAAGCTGTCAAAGCCACAGAAGAAGAAGAAGACGAAAAGGAAGAAGAAGAAGGAGAAACGAAGAATAATCAGCGATTCAATAAATTAAAGTTCACAGGGCAACCAAATGGACAATCAGACATTGTTTAATGCTACTATGGTTTAAAGATTTACAATTCATAGACCCAACGTTTCGACACCCCTGTCTAGTGCCTTCATCAGGAGTGATCTAAACGCTGTAACAAGAGGTCCTTTTATAATTAGTGGTGACAATTTTAGATTTATCCCACCCAATTGTATGGTTAGTTAGGCATGTATGCTCCGATAAAGCTGAATTTTCTTTTTTGCAAAAGAAAACCGCTCGTTGATGCTCTTTCAAACGTGTATGAAACTGACGTTTGGTCTGTGTGATGTATTCCATGTCACAGTCATTGCAAGGAATAGAATAAATGACGTCGGTTCGTTGTTCTTTCGTAACAGGATCCTCAGTTAGGTTTGGCAAAAATATGCCCCAAAGTCAGCGATTCATTAGATATGAATTTTAATGAGCTCTGCATCAGGATCGATAATAAAAAGTTTGCTTATAAGCAAAAAATCTGCGACATTTTCAAAGAATAAATAAGGTACTTTTTGCAAGAAAAAAATTATTATTGAGTCACCATCCTCGAAGGAATTGACAACAGTTACAAAATGTTCATTTTCTAACGGTAATGCTGGGTTTTTTAAACAAGTGTCCGGTTTTGGTAACAAAAGTCCATTTTCGCACAAAAGTGTCAATTTTTGGTATACCAATTCCCATTAACAGACGAAAGTATCCAATAATAAGCACTAGTAACCATTCTCCGTGTAAGGACACCAATGTCTTATTTTGGAAAAGAATGTCAACTTCATACTGGACATAACGATTTCAAACTTTACTAAATTAAAGGCGGGAGGAGTCCTGTACTGTGGGCTGTCGTGTAACGGTGGAAGTCTGGGTCCTCTCGAGTCGGATATCCCTGTCATGCTCTTGGATTCTCTCTTGAAAAGGTTTGCCAGTCTAAAAATGTCTATGAAGGACTACATATGACATACATCTGACATACATAGGACATACATATGACATACCACATACTCTATGAAGGACTACATATCGGCCTCGATCAGTCCCGAGTTCCTCCCAGGCCCTCTCGCCCAGTTAGCAAGAAGTTATTATCATAACAGGGAAAGCTATGAATTACTAACTTCATGCCAGGGAGCTTATTCAAAACATCGGACAAAACATCCGATTTTCAAATCATATTCTTATTTGCTTCGTTCAAAAGAACATTATCGTTACTATAACCTTCTCAAAATGATATATTTTTTCAATTTTTTTGGTAATTTTATTGTGGCATTATACCCTGCGTTATGGCTGGTTAAACACTACATCAAGTCTTTACACGTAATTTGTATAAAATAAAGTTCCTTTACAATTTTTCTGTAAGGAAGGATTTGTAAACGGTTGTTTTCATTTTCATGTACGCTTTCATCTTTTAGAACATAGCTTCCTTTCATTTGTTAGGCAGACAAAACATTCATAAACGGGCTTTTTAAAACCCTTGTAACCAGACACGAAATTATATTGTTTGGTTTTCTTCATTTGATAGTGGAAGTGATAAAGTAATTCGTCATGGACGACGACTAGGAAGAGGGGAAGAAATGCTTAAACAGCAGAAGTAGATGTAAAAAATGTAAAATGTAAAAAATTAATTAATTATTAAAAGCAAAGAGGAGAGCAAAGCCTGAACAAAGTTGCTCTAAAGAAAATCGAGTAAATCTGTGGAGAGTATCATTTCTTAACTTTAATTGTTTCTTCTCTTTTTATTAACCCAACAAAAAATATGGTTAGGGTATCGATACGATTTTGTTTTTGACGAAGGATGGGCAGTGTAAGCTTGTCACCAAGCCCTCATTATTAGCACTGCTGGACGCGCGTTTCTTCGTCCGCGAGAAAATTTGCGACAAGTCGCGGAGAGGTTTGCAATTATTATGTGCTTTGGCGTTTTTCTACGAATCAAATTCGCATTTAGCTACCTTGGACTTTCACCTTTCACCTACCTTCACGTGTCAAATCGACGCGCGTTTCTTCGTCCGCGAGAAAATTTGCGACAAGTCGCGGAGAGGTTTGCTGGGGGTCAAGACCATTTGCGGACCTTCCACCGGCTCCTGTCGCTGATCGAAGGCCCCGTAATTTCCGTGCTCGTAGGCTTGAGTAATCTCCTTAGCTTCCTCTTTCAATAAACACTTGTGCTTGGGTGGGGCATTTGAACGCAATTTTTTTGCGGGCGCAGGAATTTGAGCGAACCAATCTTAAAAATTTCCGACAAGGAATGTTGCCGAAAGCTTTGAATTGATCGACGCATAAATTCGAAGTGTTCAATCACAGGCATCCCAAGCTCACGTATCCAGAGAAGAGAGAGCTAATTCTCCGACACGCATGCATTTATTCATGAAAGCGTCTCGCGTTGTGTTACGTGGTGTTAGATTAAGCGAGGAACCGTTGAGAATTTAAATATGTTTTAAGGGGTAGTATGGGAAACAACATATGGTCGATTTACAACGCTAAATATTTTGACATATGAACATTATACACGCAAAATTAATACAACCTGCTCGCTCAATTATGTGCTGTATTTAAAAATAAATGATTGCACCTGCCATTAAGTTATTGCAGTTTATGCTACCTCTGCAGTTAAAATTCTAGATGTAATTTTTTTGGGAACCTCATACAATTTTAGCGGAAAATAACCGGACACTAGCTAGTATCCAATGCAAAATCAAAACTCGGACACCAGTGTCCAAAAGCTAAAATCGGACACTAGAGTCGTAAATCTGAAATTGAAGGCTAGTGTCTATAATCTAAAATCGGACTTTAGTGTCCAAAATAAGAAATAAGACACTAATGTCCGAAATAAAAAATCGGACACTATCGTTCAAAATCAGAAATCGGACGTTAGTGTCCAAAATCTAAAATCTGGCATTAGGATCAGAAATCTAAGATCGGACATTTATGTCCAAAATCGGACACTAGTTTCCAAAATGTAAAACCAGACATTAGAGTCCAAATCGGAAATAGGACACTAGTGTCCAAAAGTTGGAAATTGGACACTAGTGTTTAAAATCTAAATCTGACACTAGAGTCCAAAATCGAAAGTGGGACACTAGTGTCCAAAAATAGCGGCATAGACAAGACTATACCCAGATAAGACAAAACCCAGATAACCATTGGCTGCGAGGATCTCCTAATTTCATCTCTCCACCGCAGTGCAAATATGTGAAATTTTCATATTTCTAAAACCTTCATTCACTTGGATGTTTATTTGTACCCAATTCATTGACCAGCTCCCAGTTGGCTTGTTAGCTCAATTGGTAGAGCGCTGCACCGGTATCGCAGAGGTATGGGTTCAAATCCCGTACGGGCCTGAATTTTTTTCAGGTCCTATTTACAACTACTCGTTTCAGTAGTGTTCTTAGCTGCGAGGATCTCCTAATTTCATCAAGTCGCTCAATATTTAATGCATTCCAAGAAAAATTATATGGTGTGCCTTGTCTCTCAAATTTAATCATATTGTCGATTAATTTGTAACAGGACTTCTTGTCGTCCAATTCTGTCTTTCATCATACTCGGAAGCAAGAGACTACAATCTCATGCCTTAAGTGATCGCTTTTTGGTCGTCCGATTTTGTCAATCACTCTTATGACAGACTTAATTGGACTCTACTCAGTCCTATTACCATTCCTAATTCCCTAATTTGGGTAAATAAACGTAACTTTAGGTATAAGTTAAGAAGACGCACCGGACTCTGTGACGTCATAATAGATCCAAAGTGCTCAGGGCGGCCAATTAGAACAAATGAACATATCACAGGTAGCCAATCAGGACTCATAATCAATTGGTAAAATTCCACAAGCACGGGAAAACCGACTAAGTCGCGATTGGTTAAAGCTTTGCATCTGATTAGGGAAGAGGATGGCTCGAGTTTTCTGGACCAATTACAGAACGTGACGAGACTAAACCAAAGCAAACTTGAATCATTGTTGACACTTAGTTGGGCTGAAATTATCAGAAATAACCAACTGTGTTAAACTCTTTTCAATATTAGCCACTGCTTCCTCAATGACTAGAGAATGTTGAGCATATGTACATTTTACGCTCTTCTAAGTGCTTATCCTTCAGCTTACAATGGTTTCCATCATAGCAAGCAATTTTATTTCATTTTTTTCTGTAACGGCCAAACATATGACATAACCTACCTATCTTGGTGGCCTCTCGTGTGCCTTAAACTTAATTTGCCGATGACTTTTGATACTCTCAACTTGCACCTATAGTAGCTCAGGATTTTCCTACAGTTTTATTGCTCCTCAGGCCTCTCAAAAGTTTTAGGGATTTGTTTGGTTCGTGTCTAGCGCCTTTAGGTAAGTGCGGCTGAAAAGTTTCTTTGACAGTGTACTACTACAATAGTCGTCTTCAAGGATAAGCGCCCACGAGCCCGCGAGCAGGTTCTCGTTAACTGTGTTTCTGCGCAAGCGTTTCTTCATCTGTGGGAACATAGGAAGCCTTGAGCTGCGCATGTGCATGTACGCTATGAGGGACTTTGTGGCCTTGTAGTCAGTGCAGTGGACTCCGGGGCGAGAGGTCTGGGTTCGAGACCTGGCCGAGTCATTGCGTTGTGCTCTTGGGCAAGACGCTTTACTCCTACGGTGCCTCTCTCCCCCCAGGAGTTTAAATAGTCACCGGTGAATTGTCAGGGAAGCCCGATGAAATGCGGGAGGGGGGGGGGTGGGTAACCTTGGGATGGACTGACATCCCATGCATGGGGAAGTAATAATACTCTTAGTCGCTTCTTGCTACAGGGAAACCGGAATATTCTCCCAGGTGTGGACCAATAGGCTCGTATCGAGTACAGACTTTGCCTTTTTACCTTCTGAGATATGCAAACCGCCGAAAGCTCTTCAAGAAAATTAAACAATCAAAGTGAAGGATCCCATTAAAAATTTCAGAGCCCTGACTAACCTCTCCCTGACATGTCTCAAATCTTCCCTCGGAAACGAAACGCACGTCCCGTTGCGTTGCTAATGAGGGCTTATGGAAACGACATATCGCAATTGTGGACAGGATTTCTTCTGAACCTGTTCAAAAGCGCAACTTGTGTTTTATGGGAAGATAAGTCTGCTTCCCAAATTATTGCGCAGTCATACCAGTGAAGCCATTGGAAAGTTGTTCCACGTAGAAAATTTCAATGGCGATGCTTTTTCTCTCAAAGAAATAGTGCTTTTCAAAGAATCAATCGGATTTTAAAAGGTTTCTTTGCTTCCCATTTGCAATTGATGGTTAGCTTAAGACGCAACAATGGGTTTCCAATATCGTGAACATTTCAAATCACAAGTCTTGTAATCACGGTAAGATAATATAAACTGTGGACAATCTCTTGACTCACGCTCTGATTTCAGGTCGATAGCATATCCTAATCTAAAAATCCCAGACCTAAACTCATGTTAACATGAGAACTCAAAGTTGGCAATGCATCCAAAGAGAGTGTTACTGTGAAAAATTTCAAGTGTGAGGGCACCATTTATGCATAAATTCTCAACGGATGGTAATGTGGCAAATTCTGAAAGGGTAAGTATCTGTTATCTGCAATTGTCGAGGTGTACTGGGTCGAGTTTGTTGGACAAATGCGCTTCTACATCTTAGCGTCAGTAATATAGATCAACCGCGCGGTTTGATATTCTTCGACATCGAAGGCAGGGACTGGATTCATGGTAAAGGCAAGGATTTGAAATGTTGGTGTCTTAGTTTATCAAGGTAAAGTAATACGGTTTCACAATGTTAATCCAATCCTGTTTTTCATACAGTGATAAGCTTTATTGATGAAGAGCGATCCTTCCTCTTGCACGCAAGACGCATTTATGTAAAAAGCCGACAGTTCATTCGATTTACAAGACTTTAACGACAAAATCTAAAAGATTAATTCCTTTTAGCGATTAATCTCTTTCATTACTGCGAAATTATCTTATTTTTACAAACACTCAGTCCTAAAACTTGCTAACAGTATCCAGTGCTTTCTTTCTTCGAGTGATTCACTGACTTCCAAAACCGTTTCACGTGCACAAGGTCCACAGATCATTCTTGAAGCTCTTGAAACACTCTATAAGAGGGGAAAGAAAATGAAAGGTTGATCATTAACACGCCGGTGAAAAATTACAACTGAGACTCAAACATAATTTACAAATTTAGGGTTTTCTAGCCATGAAAAGTTAGTTATTGCTCAGTATCTTGTTAACCTTGATAGTAAGATCTTTTTTTTCACCTTCCTTTCAATATATCATGATCAAGAGGTGGCCAATAATGATCAGGTGATTTTAATCATGATGATATTAACTCAGTGAAGAGATTTGTAGGGTCTCGACTTGCAAAATCATAGAGAATCCAACAATCTATATTTCCAAAGAGGGGATTTACATTTATTACTATGTCTTTAGTGGCTGTTCTCCAGATCTGCAGACTCAATTTTTTTCAAAGTTAAGTTTTTAATTCCTTCTATGGAAGAAAAAAGATTGTAAATTCATGTTGAAGAGAACCAAGAGCTATTAAAAAAGACAAGAGCAGTGAGCATTTATGCTGTACACTCCAAGGTCTCCTTTGCTGAATAAGAAGCACCCAAATTTAAATACTGAGATCAAATCACATATTTGAAAAAGTGAAATTTTGTTGTGAATTCTTTGCAACATTATTTGTCAATCTAGCATTGTTCACCTTGATGGTCTTGCTATCTCTGATGAGGTTATGTTACAGGATCCCCCCTCCCCACTATGGTGAAACTAGACTACCTCCATATTGTAGGTAGTCAGATCTCCTGAGAGGATAGTGACCATTTCAAACAGGCTTTGCATACATTGTGCATATAGAGACTTCGACTGAGAGGACTTTTAGTCAAGGCTTGCTGGTAGAATTTATGAGGTGGGGATCATTACAGCCAATTCATCTCACCTCCCAAAAAAGATTGATCTTAGGAGGTTGATTTTAATCACTGGTGATTCAGTAGCTGTCATGTAGGCTTACAGAAAACTGAAACACCAACTCAGACAGCTGTTAACAAGTTAGCTAAGTCAAACATAATGTTTCTTAAAACCGTAAGTTACTGTAGGCCAACCAATTGGCTGTTTACAAGGTGAGTATGGAGAAAGAGTTAAACTCAGGACTACCAAGAAAAAAATTCAATTTATTTTTTGAGTGAGAATTTGATATTGGACCTTTGGGTTTTGAGCTCAACATTCTCATCACTTGCAATGGATAGGTTAGCTCCATGATGCCTTCATAATGGCTCAATTTAAATTTTGGATTTGCTGTATATTGTAATAATTTCAAGACATTTCTTGTTTGCTTTCTTACTGACCAGTTATATTTAGGGATATATTTCACATGAACCTAAATATTTCACAAGGCTTAATTCAAAACTGACAAAACATTAAGTGCTAATCAAATGGTTTACCCTGTTGTCAGTTAACATGAATATTGTTGATTATCTTGTAAATCGTATAGATTGCTTTTGAAATGACACTGATGTAAAGCTTTCCTTTTTATTTGATTTACACATGAGGAGAGATATGAAGAAGACAGATACACCACACATGGAATCTGGAAGAAAACTGACTTGAATTCGTAAGGTGAGATCCTTTTAAAGAAGTAAGCTACCTCCCTCAACCCTATAAACAATCAGCATCTAAATTCTCCCTACAATAACACCCATGAATCACACATTGAGGTTATGAGAGTAAAGGAAATAATCACCAACTAACTTTTCTTGATTGTTATACAAATTCTCACTCCTCACAGAAATACTGGCCATGTTTGTATTGGAAATGAGATTGATAAAAAAGGTAGCTGCTTAATACAAGTTTTTACTCATGAATTGATACATGAATGTTTGTATTCAATCATACTAAATGATTAGAATTATATTGCAGTAATTTTAATACAAATAGCAGACTATCCTGCTGATATTATTATTATTATTGCACTATCTGGAGCTTTCGAATACATACATGTAGCTGATTTAGTCTAGCTTTTTCTTTTCAAGAATTGTTCATGTAATGTAATATATATATTAAAGTAATTGTTATTTAGTCTTTGTGTTTATTGAATGACATTTATGTTAGACTTATGCAAGGAGTAATCACAACATATATAGAAAAATATATTTTTAATGCAATAAAAGATAAAAAAATTACTTAGAATGTTACTTTAAGCTCTTGGTTATCAGTAGTATATGGGTAAATACGTGCTTGTTGCTTGAGCGGCACAACACTCTGCCATAAAAGTGGCATGAGGATGGGAAAATGCAAGCTAATTGGTGTGATTCACATGTGTAACTATTGGACAAGTACAGGCTCAATGATAATGTTCAGTCACTGGTGAGTTATTTTTGAGGGGTCAGTGATGTTTTGTAGTTACTCCGAGCTGCATGCAAGCTATGGTCATTTGAACTCAGGAATGAGGTTTTGTGCAAAGTGAAGAAAAAGTCTCACTGATGGCAAATGGTGTTGAACAGTGTGTTTGACAAAGTTAGTTCCCTTTTCTTTTGCCTATCTTATTTTTTTTTGCCAATCTTTAACAACATTGATCTGAATGTTTGTCTCAAAGATGTCCATGTACATCAGTGAAATGTTCCCTACTGTGTTGGTTTTCACAGTCAGTACGTGTCAAGTCAACAAACAGTTCTCCTTTCTTGGTCTCACTCAAAAGTCAAATCTTATAAAAGTCACATCTTTCCTTATTTCTGTTCATGTTACAGCTGTGTAGTGTTTAGATATTCCATGGGATTTTTTACTCTATGTCTCAGTGGAATGTATTCTATTTGTCAACAGTGTTACTGATCAGGGGAGCAAATATCAAATGCTTTTCTCTTCTACTCATAATCGCCATGTTTTCCATTTCCAATGAAGTTGTCTTCATGTAGTACTCCATAAAAAGTGACACCTGATGATAGAAAATTGAGTTACACTGAATTCTGCAGTCTTATGAAAACATACTCTAGTGTTAGAAACAAAAAAAGGGGTTTGCTATATGTAGGTTTGAAAAAAATCCTTTAAATTCTTGTTTGAACTTTGTTTACTCTTTGTCGTACACAAGCGAAATATTTAACTTTTGAAAAAAGATCAACAGTTGATTTCTCATCGCATTGGTAGTAAACTATTGAACAGTCAACTGAGGTGAAAAGAAATTAACAACAGGATAAATTGATGAAGCACCAAAATCTCAGAAGTAAAAGGTAAAGACATGTATGGCATCCAGAATTGAGAATTGATAATTGGACCTAAATGTTCTAAGCGCAAACGAGGTTTAAATCAGGCTCGTGATTTAGGTGTCCTTTGAAGTTGACACATGATTCCTTCGCCTAGATATGAATAGCAAGAGACTGTTCCTATCCCCCTTCCCCCCCCCCCCGAGCACTACGATGACACTACTTGAAGACATCATGAAACAATTTTCTTTTCTCCCCCCCCCCCCCCCCGCGAGGGAAATGGAAAAGATAATACTACTTGAAGCCATCATGAAACAACTTTCTTTTCCCCTCCCCCCCCTCCAGTGAGCAATTTGTTGGGCTGCTTTGACAATTAACTGGTTCTCTCCTATTCTCCTGGGTGGGGAGAGGCACAGCAAGAATAACAAGTGCATTGTCCCCATCGGAGGTACCCCTAGTTCATGTTGACAGAGTTTAGCGGGTTACGACTAAAATCTACCACTGGGGTTAAATACGAGATCAGTAATGAGATACTTATAATTAAGATGAAGCCTCACTTTAAACTTGCAAAATTCCAAACTATCCCGTCTTAAATTGGGATATTCATTCTACTGTTTGAAAAAACACTGTCTAAATTTAGTAGCCTTTTTCCGCAAGCAACGATTAGTAACTTTACTCCAAACAAAAAGTAAATAAAACGGAGTACATCATGTATTTAAAAGGACATGTCGCACTAGTTTTTAACATTTCAGGTTTAACCTGAAAAGTGCCATCCTAGTGCAACCCCCTCTCCCCCTCAAAAAGATCAAATTCAAAACACAACCCCCCTCCCCTCCCCACTTGCGCCCAACCACAACAGCATTACCCTTCTCAAAAGGTCTTTCGCATAAACATTCATTTATCTTTTCCTTAAATTTGATACCAGGAACCCATTGGGTTTCTGGAAGCATTTCCAATTAGTAATAGAGAGAAAATACGAGCAATTCAAAGTTACTTTTGGCCAAAGGAATAAATGAGTGGGGAAAAATTGTTCACGCTGTCTTATTAAATTTATCTGTGAAAACCGCAATAATTTTAACATAAAAACTACAATTAAGCAAAAACCCTGGAAAATCTTACAAGAGTAAATAGTTCGACACATCAACATGAAACAAGTGTAGAGATCAATGACAACAATTTGACAACAGTTAATTGTGAGCACTGGCTCTGGAATGAACGAAAAATTCAAATGTTTTGAAGCGCTTTTGAAGAAAAGATCATTTGATGTGTAGGTGACACTATCGATAAATTTTTCAAAAAAGTTTCCAAGAGGTAGAAAAAGATCTTAGCGCACGTTTCTCACCCAATGAAATACAAGCATTTCGAGAAGCGAATGGAGCCTGGGTGTCAACGACTTTTTCAGTGAACTTATCAGGTTGTGAAAACTCATTAGCTAGCCTATGGCTCATAATTTGCCCACAAAGGGCCTTTGTTGTGTCATCGAATGTGTGCAGTTACCAGCAACTTAGAATTATGTTTCGTAGTCTTAATAATCTCTAGTCTGTAGGTCGAGATAAAAAATAACCGAAACAAACAAACATTTACTAAAAGTAAGCAAAGCTTTCCTAAAGTTCCCTAGCTAACCGAAGCCATTAAGTTGTCACGGGACACTAATTAATGCGGTTTTTAATTGCCTTTTGTTATTTTAACAAGATTTATGCTATCTTGCTTTGACCACACATCTTCGGAATGCTTCATTCGCGTTTCTGTAGTCAACGGGGCTTTTGTTGGTCTAAAGAATTACTTTGAGCAGAGAATTACTTTGAGGAGATAGGCAGACCCTTTGACCACACAAACTTCGGGCTCCCTCAAGCCAATTTATGTTCTTTATAAAACTGGAAGTTCACGAAATTGCTTCAGGAAGGTATGTTGTAAATTTCTTAAGCCGTTAATTCTTAGTAAATTTGAGTTTCCATGGAAAGAGAGAGGAGAGAAAGATTTATTAAAGCAAAACAGATCAGACTTATTCTCTAAAAAGAGTGGAAACAATTCGAGAAAAACCGTGAGGAGAATTTGGTACCGGTTGCCTTACAGGAGTAAGGTTAGGCCTGAAATCGTGGGAAAATTACAGCATTAATTTTTGGAAAACTAGAGACACCATTAACGCCCCTTCGCCGAAATTTACTTCCTCAAAATTTGTTCGTAACTTCTCTTTTACTTGGTAAAACATCGTAGTTCTAACTGACTTTTCTAGTGAGTCTATCCATTGTGTGTTCTAAGCTTTGAGAGTGTGTCCTTTGTATGTTTCATCCTGTTCAAAATGGTGCGAAAAATTCCTAAGCTGATCTGTTCTACTCCTTAAATATCAGGTGCTTACGCCTACAACAGATTGATCTCGGAAACTCTAGATACTGGAAGCGTAGTTTTAGTAGTTGGGGCTCAATAATGACTTTGAACTCTTTCCTTGGCTCAAAGGCTCACAATATTTTTAGTATTTGTTTTTTTGGGGACGTTTTAAATTACCTTAAGCGTAAAGAAAATCCACTATGCATCAAATAAAATTGGTGGAATACCAAAATAATACTGGGTAATGATAAATCAAAATGTGACAGGTACAGTCGAGGATGTAGAGAAGGGGCATGGATTGCAAATGAAAGGCTAAATAAATTTAGGCCAAAGCTTCTGGTTGGAAAATCCTTGACGGTGCTCTTTTTGACATACAGATATTTGAGTTCTCCTCACTGAATGCCATACTTTTCATCAAAATTTGTTTTGAGGACTTAGTGTAGCATGAAAACAAAAGATACTACTTGATAAACAGCACGAAAGCTATTATAATTCTCTGTATTGTTCACAGCTTTCTGCTTTCCTTGATTTGTGGAAATAAATTTTGGAGAAATCGAGTATTGGTCAGTCACGCTGCCTTAACTGCTTTCACGCTGGGTTATATTTTGTATCTGCCATTCTGTTCATTAATAGTTTCCGCTTACTTATCTTGGTTCTGGAGACGTTCATACATTTCTGTCACTTTATCTTCCCTATGCATACCCACACATTTTCAAAGGTTATTGGTTTTTCTCGCCTGCTAATTGCCCTGTCATCGTATTTCCTTGCAAATGCAGTTATCTCGTCTACTCGGTTTCTTTCGTCTCTATTTCGTCTCGTGTCTAATTCTTACCGCATCAGAAACTAGCGCATTAATTCAAGAAATGATTGGGAACTATCTCCAAATGAGTTCATATGCTTGAATAATTTGTGCATGGATTGTCCACTTTGTTTACTTTCAATTTTATTTATTCCGAGGCAAACAACGGAACTACATAAACAAACCTCTCATCTAGCGGCCTTTCTTGTCTTCAACAGCGACCAGTCGTCCTCCTTCGACTCTAACTTCTGTAACAAAAACAAACAAACCATTGAGTGTAGAGTCATTGTATCCTTAACACTCAGCGTGAGTATCTCCTTACCTCCGTTCGAAAATCTCTTCACCACGATAATGTGATTTTCAGGGCAGGCGATCACTATTCGCTGATAAGGCGTTGATTTCCGACCTTCGCTGGCTCCTGAACTCTGTGCTGATTTTTCATTCGATGCATTTTCCATGATCTTTTTGCTTGGTGTAGCACCGCCACCGAAATGGTCTGTGTATCTCTGTGAGTACGTTTGATTGCCTGGTGATATCTCTGTTACTATTTATTAAAGTTGTGAGTATGAAATCTTCAAGCGTTGGGGTATTTTTGCATGAGCTAAGTGCTATTTTTCCTTTCCTTTCGAATAAAAGAAACCCCTTTACAATGGGAGAATCCCAATACATTGCATTGTCATCTCGAAGTACAACTGTAATGCTTTTTTTGTTAATATGGTTTCTGGGTTTTTCCCTAATTTCGTTTCTGTGTGATTTACATTGGTCCCTTTCCAATTTTATTTTAAACCTCAGTCTGTACTCAAAGTCTTACTAAAGAGTGTTAAAAAATTATATCCTCTCTGCCTTTGGGAGCTTGTGTCAAAAGATGGAACAAAACGTTCTTTTGGTACTGCTAATCATGATCTGCAAGGCAAGATCTTTTTTAGTCTGAGGACATAACTCTAATAAGTGACAATTAAAAACTCTAATAAGTGTCCGCCTATATGAGAGCTACTAAGAAGTATTTTCATGAGGCTTTTTCTTCATTCTATTTTGCAAAGTAGTTATACCTTTGAGTTCTGAGGATAAAACCCCGTAGTGTGACTATTCAAATGAAAACTACTGATCAATACTCTCTGAAACTTTGAAGTGTAAACATCCAAATGAAAACTTCTGAGCAGTAGTAGTTTGCTGTACAAAGTGATCCTAACTTTTACGTCCATACATGAAAATCGAAACTTTGTTGACCGTTCATAGCTGTTCTGTTGGTTCTGTTGGAGAGACTTCACAGGGTGCTAAAAGTTCTTTGACATATGTTGTATCCCTGAAGGAGTAAATACAATAGATGTGTATGTGGTGGCTGACTTGCTGCTGGCACAATTAAATGCCTGTTACTCTTCAAGACATTGAAATCCAAGAAGATTTTTGACACGTTTTTTCCGTTCTGGGTTGTGCTGTTACATTAGGATGTTCTAGAAGACTCGATCACTCAGTGATCAGAATGGAGCCTTAACCATCTTTTAGTCAGCCTAATGACAGGGAAAATCAACCCTTAGACTTTGAACAGAAGTTCCTTGAGTGTGTTTTAATAAGGAGTTGGGCATAACTGTTGGATCAAATAAAATTTTCATTAGGTTTTGGTTTAATTTGGGTGATAAGCCAGCTTATTTACCTATGCATCTGTTTAACTGCCCTGCAATACAGTTTAGAAAGTTTAAAAGGGACATTTTAAACATGCAGGGGAATATTATGCTTGTAAAAACGGTTCCCGAATATGCATTCAAGGATATTCTTGTCGTTTCTAAAACATCACAATCAACTACCAATGCAAATTGGCAATATGAGTTTTAAAAACCTTTAAGATACATAGAGCAAGATAAATAAACTTCTAGTCTGTGTATTTGCAATCACCAACGTGGAGCTACGTAATCTATCTTTTAGAAACCAGTTCGAAATAGTCTGCGTGCAATAGCAATTACAAGGATAGACGTCCGTCTTAAGTTTTGATTTTCTGACCTGATTGTTTTCCTCCGTGTCGAGTAAACGAACGACTAAGTCCCTGATGTGATTCAATGCGTGCGTAGGGCAAAAGGCGCCAATTGGTTTAGACGCGCATGTTCTCAAACGCTGAGTTCAGTTACTGTTAACGGTTTTTCGGTTTCTCGATACAAAACATAAATAACTTTCACAATTCACTATGTGGAATGAATCTTTATTTAAGCTTACCAATTCCCTAATAAAAATGCTCGCTCAGTATTAATATACAAACAGACTAGTTCGGTAACTTGCTGCTTAATGAGCGCTTCTTGAGCGAGTTGTGCTAAAGCTGAGTTGTTCGCGCGCTTCAAGTGAAATTAACATCCATTAAAAGACGTTGAACGGATAGAAATGTACTAGAAAACTAACCAAGATAAGAAATAGCATAGTCTATCTCTCTTTTACTTAAGAGGTTATTTTCAGCAGATGTGAATCAAGTAACAAGGATTATTTCAAAATGATTGTGCAAACCAACATGGCGGCTGTTTCCGTGTTAAGAAAAATCACAAAGATATTCACTCTCCATCGTGGACAGCAATTGATATATTACAATCTCCCGTAAAATTAGCGGTGTGAAATAAAATGCTGGCTTTCATCAGTCTGAAATCCGAAAAGAAACACCGGTTACTGAAAGTTTCTCTCGAAAAAGTATTACAACACGTGTTTGATTTCTCATGAAGTAGCTGCGATTTTCAAGTATTTGGATGTGAGAGTTTTCTAACAAATCAGGCATTTCTTAAGCATTAAGGGATGTATTTATTAGCGGTTTCATATAGATCTAAAATCGGTTTTCTTTGTTGCTGATTGCGTGAGAAGGAATCACTCCAAAAGTGCCTTACCTTAGTAGTACGTACGTTCCAACTCGTCCATCAGGTATCCGCGAGTATGCAGAGTATATGCTTCGAAATAAACCGCAAAGGGTTAGATTTGATGATTGTTCTTCAGTTATGATTTACCTAAAAGTAGAGGTAAAACTTGAATGGTACGAACCTCCTCCCCGGTTGCGAGTAATCTCAAAACTTCTGAAATTATTTCTTACGTAGAACCCAATTGTTAGTCAAAATCTCTGAAAATTTATACTCCACCACGTTGACTTATTAATGACATGGGTTCATTTCGTGAAACCAAATCATAATTTTAGAAAGGAAAAGTTTGACTCAAAGCTTTTCATTTTGAAAAGAACATTTGTGAACTGGTGTTCTGATAAGTGAGTAGCTCAGGTTATTTATTGCAATGCCGTCTAAGTCGAATAACTGCACATTTTATTTAACTACTGCCCAGCTCATGGACATCCGCGTATATGGTAGCTATTTCATCGTCGGCGTGTAGTCTGTAGTCTGTAATAAAACAAATAATCGGTTTGAAAGCGATACTAACTCTATGTTTTTGGATGAAGTACATTTTCGTTTTCAAAGTGCGAATAGTATGTATTTATAATGATCTGGGCTGCTTGTCTTTCTGCGAATGATGTTGTTATATCCATTCTACCTGTTATAACGCTATATGTTTTGTAGAATGATTATTTTATGGAAGGTGTGTTCACCTATCATAAGAGTATTCGCCGAGTCAGTTTTGTGGTGCGTTACGCGCTATGATGTGCACACACGCGAAGTAAACACACTGAATTATAGATGAAATGGATCAGTATCTGAGTAACTGCCCACCGACCCCTCCGCTAACCCAACATTAGCCCTAACTTGCTATCAATTGACTCTTGTTGGGTTAGGGGAGGGGTAGGTGGGCACTTGCCCAGATACTGATAAAATAAAATTGCGTCAAACAGTCAAATTACCTTCAAATGTTAATGTCAATGTGCGTCGGTCCAGTTATACAGTAGTTGTAAAAGGTAAAACGTAAAGTAAAACAATTTTAAGTTACGTTTTTGGAACTCAAAAGCCCAACACTCCTAAGCGCATTTCCGATGGAAATATTTGCTCTCTCCTAGTCTCTGATTTGTATTATATTGTGACGTCAGGATACCAGTGAAAACGTCTTCCAATTGGTTTGCTTTCTCACTGCTCAGTCACACTTAGGGATATATTTCATAATAACTTAATTATTGCACAAGGCTTAATTCAAGCTTTAATTTAAAACATTCAACATTAATGAATGGTTTACTCTGTTGTTGTCAATAAACATAAATCTTGCTGGTTTTCTTGTAAATCTTACAGATTGCATTTGAGATGTCACAGATGTAAAGCTTTCCTTTTCATTTGATTTACACCTGAGGAGAGATACGAATGAGAAGACAGACACACCACACATCGAATCTGGAAGAAAACTGACTTGAATTTATAAGGTGAGATTATTTAAAGGAGTAAGCTACCTCCCTCAACCCTATAAACAATCAGCGTCTAAATTCTCCTGATAATATCACCCATGAATTACACATTGAGGTTACATGATTAAAGGAAATAATCACCATCTAACTTTTCTTGATTGTTAGACAAATTCTAACTCTTCACAGAAATACTGGCCATGTTTGTCTTGGAAATGAGATTGATAAAAAAGGTAGCTGCTTAATACAAGTTTTTACTCATAAATTGATACAGGAATGTTTGTATTCGATCATACTAATTTGTTAAAATTGTATTGCAGTAATTTCAATATGAATTACACACTATCCTGCTGATATTATTATTATTATTATTGCATTATCTGGAGCTTTCGAATACATGTGGCTGATTCAGTCTAGCTTTCTCCATTCAGGAATTGTTCATGTAATTTAATATATACCTTGAAATAATTGTTATTTAGTCTTTGTGTTAATTGAATGACATTTATGTTAGACTTATGCAAGGAGTAATTACAATATATACAGAAAAGTATCTTTTTAATGTACTGAAAGATGACAAATTAATTAGAATATTACTTTTAGCTCTTTGTTATCAGAGCTTATTGGTAAATACAGTAGTAAAGTTGTATGTAAGTACTTTTCTTTGGGTCAGGTGTTAGTTTTCTGCGAGTGAATCTGTCCCAGCAGCACAACACTCTGCCATAACAGTGGCATGAAAATGGGAAAATGCTTACTAATTGGTGTGATACATATATGTAACTATTGGGCAAGTGCAGGCTCAATGATAATGTTCAGTCACTGGTGAGTTATTTTTGAGGTGTGAGTGATGTTTTGAGGTTACTCAGGGCTGCATGCAAGCTACTGCCTTTGAACTCAGGAATGAGGTCTTGTGCAAAATGAAGAAAAAGTCTTACTGATGGCAAATGGTGTTGAGCAGTGTGTCTCACAAAGTTAGTTCCTTTTTCTTTTGCCTATCTTATTTTCTTTTGCCTATCTTGAACAACATTGATCTAAATGTCTATCTCAAAGATGTCCATGCACATCAGTGAAATGCTTCCTACTCTGTTCCTTTTTCTATTGGTTATCTTAAACAACATTGATCTAAATGTTTATCTCAA